GTCTCCTGTGTCCCTTGTGTGTGTCTTTCAGACGATGGAGGCCCCTTCCTGGTGTCTCCAAAGGCACCGCCATTCCTTGTACCAGCCTTACCACGCCCTGTTGCGAATAACCAAGTAGATGTGTGGGGCATTTGCCAGCTATGACAGATAAGAGCATTAGCAGGGGCTCCATTCCTGGCGGCAATGGGTAGCATGGACCAACACAGTGAATCGCTGCTTTCATTGCCAAAAGCAAGTCTCAAGAGCCAATTTGTACCGCTGATGGTGGTCGTGATAATGTTATTCATCTTTGTAAAGATCATGAAAGATGTGTGAAAAATTAACTATGAAACAGTGGGAGATGGCCACGTGATCGTGTGTGACCCTGTAACAACGAAGCCAGCCTCTGTCTATTGTGAGGATGTCACAGACAAAAAGACGAATCGTGACAATTTCACACCTCTGCTCTTTTGAGCATCGTCTTGCATCTTGTTGTTAGCAAGAGGGTCTTCCAGACCCCGGCCGGCGGGCAGGCCTTGTGTCCAGCAAAGACCTCCATCCGTGTCTTCTTGTGGCAGAGGCCGTTCCAAAGGCTGAATGCAGCTTTCATGTGCATCCATGAAGACCCTTTCGAACGCTTTTTCAAGCCTTGTTTGGTGTTGCTGGTGCCGCCAGCTCCTGGTGGGTATCATTGGCATGAGTGCGCGGGCGGGACAGGGACTGTTGAACATTGGCTGGTTTCGTCATGGGCATCGTGGCACGCACATCATCATGACTTGCTATGACATAGGACACAGCCTTAACAGGAAGCAGAAGCAAAGGCCTACACATCCTGCAGGAGCACTCAAATTCACAGCAAAGCAATCAAATGGCAACCATCCATGTTGCTGGCAGCTGGCTGCCAAGTCGCATCAACGTATCTCTCTTCACGCTAGCAAATGCCACACAATCGGAATCAAGACTGGCTCGTCGTTTGCAGCAATACGCCAAAGGGCTGCATTGCAAATATCCCAAATGATGAAATGAAACCCAGATTTAAGACATTATTCAGTACTTCATACTCTTGAAGCTTGCAGACCAATTCAACAGACCTTTCCATTTCTGGTTTGGGTCGATTTCCTTACCGCAAGAGAGGTGCACCCGACAAGTCTCCCGAAGCAATCCTCTTTTGCCTTTGCTGCAATTTTTCGGCACGTAGATGCGCAAGTGCAGCCACCACTACTTGTGCATTTGATTTGGCGGTCTCCCTCAACAGTGCAACATGCCCCCTCTTGTGAGCAGCAGCTGCTCGATCGCTATCGGCAGCTGATTTGATTTGCTGGCCCTCAGCAAACCTATGCAGCACAGCACAAGTTCAGCCAAAGACTCAGCAGAGAAAGATCCATGCACTGAAACCACTATGTATCCAAGTTTCTTTGGACTGTTACCTGGAAGAACAAGCAATGAGTTGAACAGGTGGCCCAACTGTTGGTTTCTGTGTAGAGCTTACTCCATCAACTTGCTGTTCATGGAACAGTTGAAGCACTCTTGTTTGCAGGTTGAGATAACATCTTGTGCAATGCAACCATTGCTCCCTGCGCAATGGGGCAACAGAATCACCTTGCAGGCAACTGCTAGTAAATGATCCCCTTTACAAGAAAAATATGTATAGCGCAGGAAAAGAAAAGAAAGAACAAAAAACACTGACAGGATGTGCACTGAGAAGAATGCACGAGCTGATGGAGAGCTATGTAATTCACCTGTTCCTCTCCCCAACAGCAGCTTGAACAGCAGTTTCCGAGCCTGCTGAGGGAACATGCTTCACGGCCACCTGCGGCACCCCTAGCTGCTGGTGCAGCCTGCTGAACCGAAAGTCCACCAGACTGTGCTGCTCTCGCCGCTTCCTTACCAGCTCCCTCGACAGATGTGCAGCTTGCAGTGACCTGCGAGCACAGGTTCACGTGCTGAATTCCTCTTTTGCAACATGCGTCTTCTCAGGGCCAACCAGTGCCCTGTACATTGCAGGCATTAATGCGCAGCTCTAGCTGCATCAATCATCAAAGCCCGAAACTCTGTGTTTCAGCTTGTGACACTGGATCTTGACCATTCTGCAGGTAGTTTCCATCAGGATCCAGGCAGTGCAATTTGCTATTGCACTTGGATGTTGCCCACACGAAAATGGCAGTTGACAGAATGGGACACATGGATGACAATCCAATTGATCGCAGTCTGCTGTGGAGCAAATTGGATTGTCATCCATGTGTCCCATTCTGTCAACTGCCATTTTCGTGTGGGCAACATCCAAGTGCAATCTTCATAATGTAGCAATAGAAAGTTCATAACTGCATGGGCCACATAGCACAGCTCTTGTGTGCAAACCTGTTGACTTCTTCTTGCTTCTGGCGTTCAAGCCCAGCCTTTGCTGCCAGATCCCTCTCCCACACCTTGGCAGCTTCCCGGCAGCAAACCATGGTTCGCACCTTGAAACACAAAAGAGTGTATCTGAATACCCATAGCAGTTGCAAATGTTCTTTCCCAAGTTACCATTCCATGGGCTCTGCCTCATCCCTACAGACAATAGGCAAACCAGATTCCATAAAATGGATATTGCAGGCAATCTGACAACAATCAACCATGAGCAAGCTCTTGCCACTTATTGGCATCCTACAAAAACAGAACTGAATAATTGCCCAGCCTGTGCTACAAGCCCATTGACATTCCATAATCATCCCCACTCATTGTTTCTCATCCTGCATGTTGCAGCATGTGGAAACACACCACTCAAGCAGAATAGCGCTTGCGCAGGTGTCTGCATGCTGAGCCATGACCACCCCATCTCAACAACACGCAGGCTGACCCTGACCCACATGTGCAGAATGCAAGAGCAGCTCATTGGAACGGGCAGGTTGGCCTGGCCTGGACTTGTAAAATGTGCCCCACTCCAGTTTCTAGCTGATGTTGTAGATTTGGGTTTCCTATCTATATTTCAGAGTTCGCCATGGAACGCTGGGAGCTGTTGCCGCATCAGTGTTGATATTCAGCGGCGACACGTGACAGGATCATCCTCTTTCGCCATGTTATGCGCAAGGATACAATCATTAATTGCCCCCATCCCGCAGGGGATGTCGGAACTTAGCACTTTCAGCGCTGATGGAAACCACAGCAAGAACAGCTGGTGGTGAGGGCTCATGAGCGACATCCCCTTGCGGGTGCGATGCCGACGAACAATACTCGATGGATTCGCACGCGCACTGGACGTAAAACAATCCTCCTTGCTGTCGCAACTCTGCCAACCGGCCACCAAGCACGCAACGATGCAGATTTTTGTATTGGTTAACCTGCAAGGATACATTCGGTCATTCAGGCACTCAACACCCCTTCCCTCGACTTCCCACGCCGTCCCCCCACCTCCCGCCCCTGCGCGCTCCGCTCCTCTCTCGCCCTGTGCACCGCCTCCAGGCCCCTCCGCCGCGCCCTAGCGGCCCACGCCCGAGCCCTGCCCCCCTCCGCCGCTCTGTTGGCCGCATCGGCCATCGCAGCCCTCCCAGCATCCCTGTGCCCCTCCCCCATCCTTCCCATGCACTCCGCCAGCTGGGTCCGCAGGCCCGCGGCGGCATTCTCCTTGTCCCTCTCCCACTCGAGCCTCAGCCCCTGCTCGACGTCCCGCCTGGTGGCGGACAGCGCCCGCTTGTAGCCGGCCAGCGTGGCCGCCGCGATGCCCTTGGACTGTCGCCGCACCTCCAGCAGGCGCGCCAGGCGGGCATCGTGGCTGCGCGACCGCTGCAGGTCCAGGCGCTCGTCCTCGGTCAGGCGGTAGCCGCCGCTCATGGGTCGTCAGCGTTGGGCCAGCGGGGAGGGGCGTCGGGAGAGTTTGGCACAGTGACAGATACGCAGGCCCACAGTGCTCCAATGTATTGGCTGGGACGGATAGGGTTCAGCTCGCCAACTGGCGAGGACAGCCCTTCCGTGTATTACTCATCGACGAACGCTTTTTGGCAATAGATATTGGCGGATTCCTGGACTTTGTTTGTGTTGTACATTAGATTTCAATGAGCTAGTCGTGGACAATGCTTTGCTCGGGCAAAACAGGTTGCTGACGGCTACCTCTTGGCCTTGCTATGCAAAAATGCACGATAATGGTTGTGAGGGCGAGGGAACGGTTAACATATTATATGTGATATACGGCGTTTTATGGTGGGAAGTGAATGTGTGAACATGGCGTTATGGCGAATGTACATGGGGACAATGGAGTTGGGTAGAGAACATTACTGCCGTGACTGGTATTTAGACTGATGCGCTCATTCTGTAATGCATCTGGTTACGGCCTTGCTTCCCGTGCCTGGGAGCGACCGTGTGCGAGCGCGGAAGCGTTCGGTCAACTCGATAATGATGATAGGGTGCAGCAACAACTTGGACAATGTATCCAGACATTTTTTGTGGCGACATTCTCGTAGCCGCATCGCAGGCAGAAAAAGTGCAGCCCACACCCTGTGTCACAGCACAGTGATGGGTGAGGCGTGCTGGAAGTCTGGGTCAGATTGTGGATTGGATTGGGGGCGTGTACAAGTAGCCGGACGGCTGTATTCGTGAAAACTGGATGCAGTCCTGTGGTTGTCTCGATTCGATTGTGGCTTTTGGAATGCCCGTTGCCGGGGGCCAGCCCAGGAGCCCAACATCGTGCATACGATCAAGCAGATGATCAAACAGGATGGGCACGTTGTGCTCTGTTTCGCCCCCGTCGACAGTCAGAGACAGAAAGCAGACAAGGGCAGAGGCTTGCATGTGCATTTGACACGATTGTGTCGAAGTCCTCGCTGCACGTGTCCACTGGAAGCAGACACCTACACTCAACTCAGCCTTCACCCTCCCAGCCATGGCCTACAACATCCATCCCAAGGGACATCGAGACGCCAGGCATTGCACATGTTGTAGGAGGCCTCAAGTCCCCTTCCACCATCTTGTTTTCAATGCCATGTGACATGACGGCCTTGGGACGTCACAACTCAGCAGGTGGTGATCTGCATCACATTTCAGGGGCATCGAAGCTCTTGGCGACACCAGGCCCTGAAATGCGTCACCACCCAATGTGCCACATGGAGTATTGGCATGTGCTGAATCACAGCTACCAAGTGTGAACTTGTGAAACGACGGCCACGGGTGAGCACCATTTGCGACGGCGGCACCTCCCATTATTCAGTTAAACATGAAGTACGTGGCACATGCCCTTCACACCCTGTTGTTTTGGGGCCAAGACAGGTGACAGATGTGCTTTGCAGACCGGAGTCCAGCGCACCTGACGCCTGTCCAACGGAATCAGAAAAACACGATGCGCAAGAACCTTGAGTGGTGCCTTGGTCCATGTGGCCATGTGGGCCACGATAGTTGACATGGCTTGCAGCCAGCGGGCGTTCAACGCCACAAAGTGAATGAATCCGTGGAGCCATTGAGTTTCATTCAGGGCCTCCCAAGTTGGTGTGCACTGATGAGCACCGCCATTGGCCATGATGCGCCGGTCAAAACGTGCACTGCACAGCAGGTCAACGATCCTGGGAGGAGCGCGCTTGAGAACTGCAGCGCTTGGCGCATCTTGCACGCTTGATCAAATGCTGAGGGCGAAGCAGCCAATATTCACACTTTGGGAGACAGTCCTTCCCTGAGAATATAGAGGGTAAGAGGGCCAGCACAGCTGGGTGGCTCCACTCTGCAACAGCGCAACACATTGGACAGCGGCATGTGACAAACTGCGAGTCCCCGTAGGCAGCCACCCCACAGCGCATAGCAACCATGTGCATCTGAATAATCGCTTTTACATAGCCTTGGCGCCATCCCCCAGCGCTGACAGGTATTTGCCGTCTGAAATGTGCGCGCCCCACAGCCCCAGCACAGCAATAACATCAGCGGCAGCGGCGCATCTGTGTGCGGCAAGCGGTATAAATTTTGAGCAAGAGTACAAATCATTTGGGGCCGTCAGCAGCAAGATCCAGTGGTGTTGAAGAGGTGAAAGAGAACCACTGCCGACCTTGGCTGCGACACAAGCACCCCTGTATCCGCCATGCAGGCGCTCTTCAAGGCGGTAGGCACTAATACCCCCGAGTCCTTGAAATTATACACACTGGCAATATCAAAATTTGGGATTCCGACCCGGCCCACGACCCACGTCTGCGTGAAAGTGACATCAACCCTTGATCTCCACCCCAATATATCCAGAAGACAAGGGACGTGGCGATGATGCACACCATGATCTCTGGCTCGCAGGGCCGTCGCTGGCCTGTGGAATCTCATAGAGGTGCAAACCCTACTGGTGCTGCCCTCGTCTCGTTATTCACCGTTCCATGACCAGCCCCCGTTCTTGCCGGTATCTTTGAAGGGCCATGATACCCCGCCTAAAGAGGCAGAACATATCAAATGATCAGCAACATTAGGCTCAGACACAATAACGCAGGTCACTGAAGGGCTTTGCATATGACTGAGCACGGCACAATTCCAGAAAGGCACGTCATCATGCACTCAACAAACTACGTTCCTGCTTCGGGGTGGCGAACGGAATGGTCGGCTGGAGGTACCACTTTCGTAGCCTCAACAGTTGGACCAAAAGACAAAGCGAGACAATCGCTCATGGCCACAATCAACGACGGGTGCGCACACAGTGGAAACACAGGATCCACATGGCATCGAAGAAACACATCGCTCACGCGTTTCGGCCAGCGCAGTATTGCTGCTGGCATTATTCAAAACTCTCCCCCTTGCATTCAGCACAGGCTAATGGCTAAAAGTGAGGCCCAGTCAAAGTGGCTGCTTTGCTGTAAAACATTCCTTGTTGTAGGGAAGCCTTTCGATATTCTGTGAACAGGTCAAGGACTGAGCAGCAATGGGCCAGCAGTGAGCTTCACAGTGGTGGGCAACATTCCACTCCATCGGACCTCATCTCTTGGGACGCCATGTCGTTCTTTTCTGTGTCGAAACTCTACACTGTTTTCCGTTCTTTTGGACTTTCTGAGTGAATGCTCCAGAACAACATCTACACTTGCAGTTGCACATGTAATTGCCTTTAAAGTGCAAAGGGAGCTTCTTGTCACTATCACAATGAAACATTCCCAGAACCATTGGAGCTTCCAATAGCTGGTGCGCACACGATTGGGTGCACAATATGAGAGTGTAGATGTTGCCATTGAGAACTTACCCAATCAAATAGAAAGGGACCACAAAACTCAACACCCGAAGCAGCATGACCTGCAACACAGCAGCGACACAACATGAGCACTGCCCCAACCCAGGCCCATGGCAACTTCTTCCAACAACACCATGCACCCTGGAAAAGAAAGACTCCTTAACAACACATCAGCATGGAAACATGGCCGCATGATGATGCATTCGCTGGTGAGGAATGTATTGGTGGCGAAGGACAATAGGCCCCCTGAGCTCACAGTTGCGCATGCTCACATTCTTCCCTGGTCCTCGATACTTACAATGCCATTGGCGCTGCTACAGCTGAAGTAGCTACATACCCCCATCCCACCCCAAACCCGCCTTTCTTGGTGGGTGTTCGACAAACTAGGGCAAGCGACTTGCGATGACACAACACACAAGATGGGTCAGATCCAGGCAGTGAACTGGAGGGACAGATGAATGGATGTAGCTACCCAGAGGGGGGACAAGTTCCTGGGCAAATGCATGGCCTTTTGTCTTCAGTGAACACTCACCGTCCGGTTGGCCACACCAGAACCCATCGCAATGAATAGCACAAGATACAGCAAGCCAATGATGAGCACGACCAGCAACACGGCACGGCACCTGGTTCAGCCAACAACCCCATCATTAATGACAACTGCCCATGGGCGCAGGCTGACTCACCGTCCAGAAAGAAAAGTGAGTCCCCTTTGAGAGGAACAGCACAATATACAGCAAGCCAATCGTGACCATGATCAGCAGCAGAACGCGACACCTGATTGTTCAGCACACAAATTGAAAGTGAACTTGTTGCAAACACCTATACAGATGCAACAAGCGGCATGCACAAGACCAAATCATGGCTTCTCACAGGTACTCTAGACCTCCTGACATTGAAATTTTGTATCATTCCCAACTCTACATCCCAGCCCATGCGACACCGAGATGTCAGCAACCAAAACATTATTCCAACACAATGCGAGTTCTGTCACCAACCCACCATGCCAGGCATTGCAAGAAGTCCCACTACCAGAGTCAATGGGATTAGCAAAGGGGCATGGCTGTCAGCAACCACAGAAAAGCAAGCCGCCTCTGATATCCCACAAGTATCTTGGGTCCCGTGACACCATGTGCGCGATCGCGCTGGGTGTGGCGCTGTAAGTTTGGGCTCTAGGGAATCCATGTGATGGGGGGAGGCATCACGCTACCCAAATACCCCAGGCTTCCCCAGTCACTTGCAAGACTGGCAGAGGGTATTAATGTATCTGGAGGAAAGCTGCACTGAGAGATTTCAGCACCATGGCAAGCAACATAACTACCGTCACAACTGGCAACTGCTGGTATTCGTTTTTCAGCACCAAGGACTGGCAGGACAACCTGGACACACAAATTCACAACCATAAACAAGCATATGTTCAGCCAAAACTACTTGAGGACTACAGGACGGGCACAACCCTGGCCGAACATTGTTGCCACACAATAGCACATCAGGTTGCCTGGACGCTCACCACAGGCGGCCAGATGACCGATCAGATGCTGGCAGAATTGCCTCCCCACTCCCGCCACCAGTCAACTGTGCTGCAAGAGCAGCATCCCTGTTGTGAAGGAAAGCATAATGTCACCACAGGAGCAGTTTATAGCTGCCCACTGGTTGGAGGATTCAATCTGAACTGAACATAGCCCAGCATACAGGAGACTTGCATCCAAAAACAATATTCATCAAGTCAGCTGCTCCCAGTGTGCAATCATAGGTGTCCATCTGTCACAACTACCCCGTCAAAACTCACAAACGCTTGACTGCTGATTGCCACAGATTGGCACCAACTGTATCAACCACTGCTGCCCTTGTAGCGCCACTCAGCCATCCACATCAAAGCAGGAGACTGACTGCTGTTTCGGATGCATTGGTCCAAGGAAGGAACACCGCCCAGAAAGGATGACAGGCACTACAAATATGGGGCGTGCACCTCCCCAAGATCCCCACCTTCTCATCTGTTCCTGCTTTTCTGCCCAGGCCACGGTCTTGGCAAGTCTGGCTCGATACGACTCCAGGTAGCTTTGCCCGCAGATTTCGCAGCTCAAGGCGCGTCGCTCTTTCACCCAAGTCTTCAGGCATTTGTAGTGACAGTACCTCAGACTACCGTCGCAGGCGCAGGGCGCCACAAGGTTGCTCATTTTGTCCGTGAGCAGGCAGATTCGGCAGTCCGCCTCCGATTCCCCACCGCTGGTAGACGGTGCACATGTCTTGTCTGGAAGCAGGGCTGATTTTCAGTTCACGTTCTGCAACCGCTGAAAACGGGCAAACGCCCACAGCAAAAACGGAAACCGGGAAACAGCAGGCCCAGCAATCATAAACACCGCCCAGCATGTGGCAAAGTGCCAGTGCTCGGGCGCCTGTGCGCCAGAAGCCGGGTTCCATGTCTGAGCTGGGCATCCGCGAACGAAGTTGAGAGGACAGCGTGAGCAAGGTTGCCGTTGTGCAGGGGTACCTTTGGTACCGTCGACGGCCGGGCATCCGTCCCACCACCAGAGCGGCAGCATCAATTCCTATCCGCAGAGCGGCAGCTGCTCTTGGTTCTCCAGCAAGGCGATCGAGGCCAGGTGGGACCCGGCCTGGCCAGCCGGTCTGGTGCAAGAGATTCTACGACGCGACTGCGGCCAACACTGCCGCTGGCGTGCGACGCTGCTTTATCCCTCGCGCAAAGATTCAAGCCGTGCCCGCGGAAGACTTCATTTTTAGCCGCTGCGCACTTCCAGGCTCCCACGCAGCGAAGGGAAACAAGTCCCAACGTGCAGCTTCTCTTGAAGGGGCAGGCACTGAGGAACTCATCCCCAATTCACATTCAACGCCGCTCAGCCGCGGGAGTTGCCTTGGATTCAGACAGCTCGCTCGTCCGCGCCTCACCTCTCGCCTTGTCCTCGCAGGCCTTCAGCGTCTCCCGCGCGGACACCATCTCTTCCTCCTCGCTCTCCTCCACCCCAGCCTCGAGATCGGACCGCCCCAGAGCATCCCCAATGATCCTGCGCCCCTCATCCGACTCATACCCATCGCTGCGCCCCTCCGCATCGGCCATGCTGCCAAGTTGAAGGCAGTCCAACAAAACCGCCGTCACCTTGCAACCACAGGCTCTCCGCGCAGTGCAATACCCGCAGGGACCAGGTGTTCACTTCCCAATGAATCCCACGGCTGGGCTCGACAAGAACAGTCTTTGGATTCCTCCAAAGTCGCCGGCAACGTTTGCTGGTGAAGTCGTGAGCGAGCGGCCCTGGGCGCCCAGAGCAGGGTTGCCGACTGAGGCACCTCGCCTTGTGGGGCGCTCACCGGTCACGAACGGCAGGGGGGCCGCGGTGCGCCTTGCAAGTCATTCGCGTCATGACAGCTAACGTCAACTCACCGACGGCGTTAGTACATTAGCGGGGCCTTACACTGGGCCCGTTATGAAATGGCAATGAGAAGGCTCCACGCACGTGGGAAAAGGGCCGGTGCGCCTGGACGACCCGCTCCGGTCCAAGACAGTCGTAGCCCAGCAGGGGCCCCTTTGACGCCGGGAACTTGGTTCAGCCGCAGGCGCTTGCCCCAAGCGGGGAAGGGAACCCTGTTGGAGGGGACCCCTATTCACAGCATCGTCCGTCAGAGCGGCCATGCAGACTGGGCGTCCAGCGGCGCCCGTGGGGCTCCGGCCACCTTGCAGGCTGCTTGCTCCGAAGGAACTCAGGCGCGGTCCTCGATGCAGCGTGGCGGGGTAAGCATGGCTGGGTCACGGTTTGCGCATCACATCAGGGAGAAGATGCGCGGAAACCGCTGTCCTTACCGTTGCCTGATCTGGCTGAGAAGACGACTCAATGTGTTTGCAAACCTGAATCCCACACAGGAATACCGCAACAGTCAGGAATGCGTTGCACCGTTTGCGCTTTTCGACGCCAGGGGCGAAATAAAACAAACGGACCTGCGCCCTGAGACAAGGGCGACTCGCTGCACTTCTCTGCACCGTAGCTCGCGCTATTTGCCACCCATTGTTGGCGTGTCGCACTTTGCTTTCAGCTTGTCCTGACGGCTGCCACTGAGCGCCAGGTAAGTTGCAGAGATTGTGTGACCCTTTGCTGTTGACACCGTTTGGTTCGGGCTGTGCTGTCAGGCCCCGGGAGATAACTGGACCTGCCGATGTGGGGTCCCTCATCCCTGAGACTCTGGAGGAAATGGCCCAAGACGTGGAGTTTCAGAGGACAGCTGAGCGCCTTCGCCGCGAGGGACAGGCTGCTTTGACCAGGGAAGAGAAAGTAAGGCGCCAGAGGTCACTGGACAACCTGGGAGTACCATCCTTCTACAAAATGGTCAAGGTGACACATGTGCACAGTGCAACTATGTTGTGGGCTGTCTGCTCCTGTGGTGCTGAATCGGTTTCTTGTTTGCCCAATGGCCATATAACCACGCTGTCTTTGGCTGCTGCTGAACCATCATCGGCGGATTTGTCTTGCTGTGCCCACAAGTTTTGATCCCAGGGCATCACCAGCCCTGCTCGACTCACCACCATGCACCAAAGACGAATTTTATTATACTGCAGCATCGAGTGCTTCCAGCCCTTGCACGTCCTGTTGCCTGCCAGTTGTATCCATTGTGGTTGGAGAATAATGTTGGAATTTGATTTTAACTTGTACAGGTGGGCAAGGTATGAGATGTGCGTCCAGAGACAGAATCCAAACTGCATAGTCTTGGTGGTTCAAAGTCAAAATGATACACCTCTGCCTGCAAACACAGCTCTTCCCTGCAGGGAACCCAGCGAGTCTTTGCTGCATGTTTAGGACAGCGGGGCGACTGGTCTGAATCGGTCAGCTGCTAAGATATTCCAGCTGAACATTGGCCTGTACTGCAACCAAGCCTGCACACATTGTCATGTCGAAAGCTCTCCAAAAAGAACTGAGATGATGAGCAAAGAGACAGCAGAGCGATGCATCGATCTCTTGAAGTCATGCAGCACAGTGGACACGCTGGACATCACGGGAGGCGCTCCTGAACTGAATTCACAATTCAGGTGTGTTGGTCCGCAAGGTAACGTGTTGCCCAATCCGATTATGCAAGACCAGGCACCTGGAAGGCTTGGCAGGGTTTGGAAGGCGAGCATTAGTGTTCCTAAGTTGTTGCTGCCTACAGTTTGTGTGATTTTGACAAGCTGTGTTATGAGCATGGAGATGACAGCTACATGTGTTTGTTCAGAATGTCTGCAAGGTGTTGTGGTATGGTTGCATACGTGTTGGGAGAACTGGGGAATGAATTGATCAGTGTGCAAAGTTCGGTGCAAAGTTCGTAGACCAGCCATATGTCATACTGGGTAGTGTACGGACTGATGGGTGCAAGTGGCACAAGCATGGTGATGGAGGGCAGCAGCTGCTGCAGCTAGTCAAGTTGTGATCCACCAGCACAAAATGCCAAGTCAGGGAATCTGTTGGCAGTGGATCCTACTGCATATTGTATTCTTTGATGTTATATGCCCTTGGTCACATGCACATTTCATATCTGCACTCCAGATTACAGCTCGCAATTGTAAGCATGCAGTGCACAATGCCTGGACCCACACCCACTCTGACCTTGTGCTGCTATTTCCACAGATATCTTGTTGAACAGGCGTCTGCTCTGGGGGTAGATGTCATCGACCGCTGCAACCTGACAGTCCTTATGGAACCAGGCCAGGAGGATTTGCCACAGTTTCTGGCAGACCACAAAGTACATGTGGTGGCATCGCTGCCGTGCTACAGCCAAAAGAATGTCGACAAGCAGAGGGGTGCCGGGGTGTTTGAGAGAAGCATTTGGGGTCTACAGGTGAAGTTCGTCTTTGCAGCAGAAAAGGAACATGTTGTACAATCGCACCTCCCTCCTCATCAAGAAGTTCTGTGAATCTCTCTCATACTTTAAATGATGATGCAGATGTCATTCTGGGCAACTGAAATAGCACATGGTGAACGACCCTTTGGTGGTTGAGCCCAGGATATGATCTGTTCTTGCAGTGCTGCCAGCGGACAGGCCACCCATGAGGCATGGTAGCCGTGCCACTCGGGTGCGGAAGCTATGAGACATTGGGGAGCAAATTCATACAGTGCATGTGTGACGTGCCTGATATGGACTGAAATATGCAACGGGCACTATTTTGCTATGAAATCCTAAAGTTGTTATGTTAGACTTCGTCTTGTACTTTGCGTAAGCTGAATATTCAGCTGCTCAGTTATTGTGTGGATTGACAAGGCTTGTTGTGGTGAACAGTTTTGCCTGTTTCACTTTTGTGCAGTGCCCATTGTGTGTCATTTTGGGTACTGTTGTTGGTCAGACCACAAGCTTACATAAGCTTGGGGCTTGGGAGGGCCAACATGACATTGATCTGATTGAAACAACAAAAGTGCAAGCTGTGAATGTAACTATCTTTGTCCATCCAGCTCTTCTTGTGATATTGCTGTGTTTGATGTGCTTGCCAATTTAGATTCTGAACCGTCTGGGCTATGGGAAGGAAGGCACTGGGCTCAACCTGGACCTTGTGTACAACCCTGGTGGGCCATTCCTGGCCCCGTCACAAGCCACATTGGAGGCGGCATATAAACAGGAGCTGAGAGAGGGATATGACATTGAATTCAACAAGTGAGTGGGAATTCTAGATTGCTTGCTTCGTATTTGCTTAAGGATGACTAAGTGTGGCCAATGCAGGTGATGGCAGGAAGATCCAGATCCAGTGTAGATATGCTTCTTGTTCATTCTCTGCATGTGACCTGTCAGGATGCATACTATGATGGTTGCAAGGGGTACAAGGTGATGAGGAGTTTGCGCTGCTGAGACACCCCTACAATGCCAATGGCTTTAGCAACTGCCATTCATGCGGCAATCAGGCATCTTGCAGACTAGGAGTGCATCGTGGCAATGAACTGTGCTTGAATTGCAGAGTTGGCAATCCTGCATAGTTATGCCTCCTCAGAAGACTAGGCTTGTACAATTGTGTATTTTCCATCTGTGGCCTGAAATTGAGAACGGACTTGTTGCAGATTGTTTTGCCTCAATAACATGCCCATCAAGCGTTTTGCAGACTACCTCATTCGACGTGGCAAGCTGGAAGAGTACATGCAACTGCTCCTGGATAACTTCAATCCAGCAGCAGCAGAGGGCTTGATGTGTCGTGACACAGTCAGTGTTGGATGGGATGGCAGGATCTACGACTGTGATTTCAACCAGCAGCTGGAGATTGGTGTGATGAGGCCTGGAAGCAATGGAAATGGGAACAACTCACAGGAGTTTGTGTCTGTCTTCAACATTGAATCACTTAATGAGCTCATTAACTGGCGCATCGCATGTGACAACCATTGCTTTGGGTGCACCGCAGGTGCTGGCTCCAGTTGCCAGGGTGAAACTGTTTGAGAACCCCTTCACTGCTTTGGGATTTCTATGTATGGTTCGCTGGGATTTCTATGGATGGTCTGTGTGGGTGGTGAATGAAGCTGTCCAATGCGGGTGCATGTTTGGCCAGCAACACTGGATTACCTGCAGAGTGGGTTCATGCTTTGTTATGTTCATCAGCAATGGTGGCACTCATGCAGGAGGCACGAATTTGAGCACTCATGTTTTGAAGTGCCATTTTGGAAGTGCATGGAGTACAGTAAGTGATGGAGCTGACTTACCCCCTGCTTCAAACGAATGGAATGGGACGTGCAATACAAAGAATGATGTCCCTGACTTGCCCAGAGCTCAGCCGAATTGAATGGGAAAACTGGAAACGTTGGTGGAAGGCAGCGCTGGGTGAGCGAAAGTTTGTGTACACAAATTTTATTCTTCCTGCTCACATTGATCTGTTTCCTGGAGAGGTAGAGTGGCGGAGAGTAAATAATCTGTTGATGGAGAGTGTGAGGGTAGGAGAGTGAATGGCCACAACTGGAGTGAATATCTGGGTGGAGCCAAGGGCAGGAATTTCACACCTGGTCATTCCAGGTGGCACATGTGCTCAAATTTCCTGCAGTGGAGCTGATGTGTTGCAGCACAAGTGCATGGAATGTAACCTCAGTTTACACTGCACACATGTACGTCCACACTTTGAGAAGCAACGCTGTGGGTATCCACTGTGGAATCTCAGTGCCAGATGCTGCACTGCAGCCACAAATAGCACTGTGCCACCATCACTGCCTGTACAACCAGGCTGGCACTGTCCAGAAGATGAGTGTTGTTCAGAAAACTCCCTGTGTTGTAATATTCCAGATGTTCATGCCAAGCCACCTTCAGTTTTGTTTTGGTGCAGTACTGACTTAGCTGTAGTACTGACTGCACCCATCGACGTAGGAAAGGGCAGGCTCAACCGTTCAATGTTTGATGAAGGATTTGATCATTGACCCAATAACAGCAATTGCAACTCAGGAATTTCCCGTTTCATTGGCCCCCTGCCCTCGTATTGGTAGCCACCTCTTTGTTTACCTGAGTTGTCTTTCATGCTCCCTTTGCTTGGAGCCAGGAGGGGGTGGGGAGGGGGGGAGGGGAGTAGGGATGGGTGTTTTGAATGGATTTCCATGCAGTGAGGACAGCAAGCTTCTATGCTTCGATGGTGCCAGGTGCTGCCCTAGTGACTGCGATGTGGACAGCAGTATAAGATGGGAGATTGGGAAGCCAACAGCTTCCCGTCAACTCACCACAGTAGAGACATGCATTGAACAAGGGTGTTGATTGCTGGCTCCCCACGTATTGTTTGGCGCTGATATGTGTAGTGATTGAATTGATGCTGACTTGGCTCTTCTGAGGTCTGTCGGTTCCCCTCTGAAATTCCATTTTGCCGCTGGCATTTCCTCTCTCTTGTCACAGTTTAGAAGCTTACTTTGCCAGCAGAAACAAGTGGACTCTGACTGGGTCATTTCTCCGTTTTCCAGCATCGATTTCTCTCAGCGGCTTCTTCATATCTTCTCCGCTCTTCTGCTGGAACAATCTTGCGACTCTCTTCACGTGTGCTTCTGTGTATTCACGGGGAGCTGGCGGCTTCCTGCTGGGAATGGATGCCAACTGAAATTCTTCCATTGGCCATCCCATGATTGACTGAATGGATGGATTCTCACGGCAAGCGCTTGAAGGGATGGCCCTCCACCCCGTCGCTTTCAGCCCAAATGCCCGGCATTCACTTCAGCAGGGAAGACGCATGAACGGGCTGTGGTGTAAGCATGAACGCGTCAGCGTCAGTAGTAAAAGCACGGGCCAGTGCAGCACATCTCACTGGGCCTCCGTTGCCCGCCGTCGGGCTATGGGCACCGCCCATGTTCGGATGCAGAGTGGCGACATCCCAAGGGCACACGGGCTCCACCCGCTCCGCCAACCCAGGGCGTCCTTTGACAGCAGCGGCGGGGGGGGCGAGCCGACCTCCGGCCATCCCAGAAGGTTTGTTCGACCTGCTTCCATCGCGGGCTTTGTTCCCCGGCCCTGTTAGTCAGCCCGCACTACAAGCTGTCCGCTCGCCGTGCAACGCTGCCAGTCGTTCAGTCCCTTCGCTGGGAGCCCGGAGTCGAACAAGTCACCGAGCGGCGCGCGCCCTGCCCGCGGGACGCCTTGCCCAGCAGCCGATTGTTTTGAGGTGACAGCCATGCACCGATCCCCCGGAGTTGTCGGCGTCCGCGCCGCGGCTCGCCGCAGTCTGAACACCTCGAGCGGGCTCAGCCCGAGAGACGCCGGCCCGATTGCCATCGCGAAACACTCCGCTCGCCGCGCCCGCGCTTTGAGATTCAGCGGGACCCCCGCCTCCTCGACGGCGCTTCGGCTGTCGATCCCCCTTGTCTCCCTTGGGCCTGCTGCTCCGCGGATCTGTGCCCGCTCTCGCAGCGGGGTCTCAATCGGCGGCGAAAATGACCCCCTCTTGCTGGTGGCCAGGCCAAGGTGGGCTGATGAGTGACTACGAGGCGCTGCGCACCACCTTTCTGTCGCAAGTGGACCGCCAGTTGGAGTCGTTCAAGGAGCGCGACAAGGACCTGCACCAGCAGAGGGAGGAGCTCAGGGACCGCAGCGAGGAGGTGGACAGGGAGCAGCAGAGGCTGCAGCAGGAGCGCGAGGGGCTGGAGCGGGAAAAGGCGCAGATGCAGAAGGTGCAGGTGCAGGACGACGACGTGGTGGAGCTGAACGTGCAGGGGGAGGTCATGTGCACGCTGAGGGGCACGCTGACGCAGGTGGGTAAGATTGGTTACCGAGAGAGAAAGAAACGGGTCGTGCGAATGGCGCCCCCTGCTGAGCAAGTGTATGCGAGGCTCTTTGCTGACGCAGGTGTGGCGCTCGGATGGGTGCCAAAGGAGGGAATGGGGCTGTGCACGAATCGCAACCTTGTTGCGACGGTGTTGGCGTCCATGTGGCGCTGGATTCTGCAGCGGTTGGTGCCTGGAGAGGCGACATCTGTGGCAGAGGCAATGCCTGTGGACACTGCGAAAGATGCGAGGCCGTCTTTCTCCACGGGCGTAGAAGTCAGCTGTACAGAACAGTGGCAACCTTCGCTTTGACGGCGATGGGAATGTTCTCTCATACTGTGCGTACCTCTAGGCTGGTTTTGCGAGCTACAGTGCGAGAAAATGGTGATAGCTGTAGCCACTCAGCTGTCTGCTTAAAATTGTGCAGCAACACTGAAGGCGGGTGTGGAACAATGTTTTGCATACATGAGAAAAAGTGTAAAAGAGAAGAGCCCTGCCGGGCAGAAAGCAACATGGCATTGCAACAGTCTTGTGTTGTAAGACCTGACGATGGGAACAAAATGATACTGCTGGCAGCGTTAATTCTGCAAAATGGAGAGCTCCTGCAGCAGGGCGGGAATGCAGTCCATGTGGCTGCAAGATCAAACGGGTGTGCCACACGTGCTGCACGAATCCATGTATACAGGCAGAGAAACGAGTCTTACTGGAAACTGACCGGCGAAAAAGAAAACTCCAGTTGTGTGGGCTTGGTTTTGAGTCACAAACTTCTCTGCTGCCACAACTGGTGGTGGCTCTGGCCAGCATGGGCTGATGCAGGGCCGAGTGCAAGGAGATGGTCTATACTCAGGGCAATTATTATGCCTGCTGTGCCATTCTCAGATACCAGACAGCAAACTGGCATACATGTTCAACGGGAGATGGGAAGACAAGATGAGAAAGGACAGCCAAGGCCGCTACTTCCTCAACTACATGCCATCATGCTTTCGAAAAATCCTTGATCACCTGACCACAAGGGAGCTCACAGGTGCGTGTGCCCATCACTTTGGAATCCAGCGCTCAGCTTGTTGGCATTCTTGATGCACACCACCAGGCAGCGTTGCCAGGATGTGCATGCCTGCAGGCGCAAGAATGAGTGCATGCTGTTCATGTTTGCAAAGACCATGAGGTCGACACAGTACCAATTCTTCAGTTGCCACAGGTTGCTGGGTGTCTTTACAACAGTCCTGTTATTGGGATTTTGTTTTGATATTTTTGAGGTGGATGTGACATCTGTGCCCCGTTGTGATTTGGAGTGATGTTGCTGCCTGCAGATATGCTATTGCCAGTGGTCATAGCCAGCAGCTGCTTTGGTCATATGGCAATACACACGTATACACACTCACGCATAAAAAATTGGGCCCCATTTTGTGTGCCCCTCACCAGATTGCTGGCTGAACCAGAACAGCAGGTCCAATATGCCCTCGCTTCAACCCTGCACACGTGCAGTGTGCACGATACCATGAAATTCAATTACCATGGCACATCTTGTCAATACCATGTGCCAACAGGCAGCATACCACAAGGAGTTGTGTGTATTGTGTGACAGCACGCATGAGACTTTCCCCATCATCTGCATACCATAATTGCACAGATCGCTAATGTTTTTTTTCACTGAGCAAGTATTGCCAATACACCATCCATCACAATGCTGCTTTGTCCCCAACTAAATTTTGTGCTCTGCTGTCAAGCACTTGGCCCTGCAGCCTTTTCTTCATTCCCATCTTTAATTGCTTTATGTTCAGGCGATCATCCACTGCCAACACCCACTGTCGATGCTGACATGGCTGCCAGCTATGAGATTCTCGTTCACCACCTTGGCCTCAACGTTGCATTCTTTGGAGGTTTCAAGTTCAGCAGAACTTTGAAGAGCACATCAGTTCGGCTTAGCCCTGATGCTCTCATGGCTCGAAACGACTCTGCAGGGGAGGGATATGTGCTTGGTGAGTGCAAGTGCAGTGTGCATGACTTGATCTCAAGGACCCTGATCTTGACATGGAGCGTCAACAGAGCCAGGAGAGCCCTTGGGTGGATATATTCACCTGTACAGGGACGTTGATGATTGCGTCCAGAGTTCTGCATGCTCTTGCTCAGGCTTGGGTGCTTGCAGTAATGACTGTATTCAGCTTGTAAAGAGCGCACTCAGCTGCCTGGGGTGCTAGGGTAGCCCTGACGCTACCATTGCCCAAGACTGTACCAGATTGTTTAAAGTGTTTGCTCGTACCAGATCCATTTCAGCTTTTCCTGGGCTGGTGATTCATGTGCAGGGTGGCTATAAGTGCTTTGTGTGACGTATTCAGTTGTTCCTTACTGGGTACTGCACCTCTGTCTGCAGGGGAGCATGGTTACAAGAACAAAGTGGTAGAATTCACGTTGCTCATTGAGAAGCTCGATGCAGAGTTCGCACGGATGTTCATCGGTGTCCTGGCTGAGGGTCACCCATTGAATTCGGACAACAGCTTTCGAGGCAACCCTGGAGCATTTGGATGGGCGGGGGCTGGGCAAGTATGGTGCTTTACTGTCACTGTGTGCATGCCATGGGAATGGGCTGTCAATTGTGAGCAGTCGTTGGGTGGGCATACACTGGTAACCTGCTTGGCAAGAGCGGCAAATGCAATCTAAGCTCCCAGCTGTCATCGCAGCTGCTTGTTCTCTGTCACGTGCATGGAGCTGAATCCAGCACATGCAATTGTTTGTTCTCTCACTGCGCTGCGCGATGTGCTGTGCCATCTGTGCATCGCCCCCCTGCTTTGTGTGTTGGGAGCTGGGTGTTTGATGTCATCAGGTGAGCAATGCGGCTTCTCATTCGCAGGTGTGGGTGGCCGGCAAGAGGCAGCAGGGCTTGGGAGATTATCCAAAGGCCCTGCTTTGTGAAGGCTTGGCGCTCATGGTGACTCTGGACTGCCGAGACGGCCACAATGTGATGAGCCTCAGGAGTGAAGCAAAAGGGACGGAATACCAGATCGCGGGGCTGCCAGAAGGGCAGTGTTGGCGAATTCATGTGAATATGGTGGGGGAAGGCGATCAAGTGAGGTTTGTGAACGTGAGGACATTGACGGAGTGATGCCAACGTTGGTACCTGGACATCATCACACAGCAACCCCCCTAGGACACGTGGCAGCACGTGAGGGCTGCCGCGTCTAGTTTATTGGGCTTTCCTTTGCCCTTGAAATAATCGGTTTGAGACTTACGCATGTGCTGTATGCCCTTGCTTGCCCTTGTGCGTGGGCACGTGTGCATTGACACTGTCTTGACCCTCCATGTTGGCATTTGCAGTGTGCCGATTTGTCGGCTTTTGCCCCTTCCTCAGTGTCATGTGCAAATGACGTGAACGCTGCTGCGACCTGATAGACAGCGCAGTGGTGGGGCTAGACATACAATTTTGTAGAAGGTTGCATTCGAGCGTGACGGCCACTGTTGTCCTTAGCAAAGGGGATTCCCATTCCTGTAGAAAGGCAGTTCCAGCAGACGATTGTCTCAATCTACTGCTTTCTGCACCAGCAGATCGTATTTGTGTGCGTGTCATGCCATAGATCTGATGACATAACCACCACAGCCTTGTGAGTGGCAGCAAACGTTTTGAAGGTGGCCGGAAGCCGTTGAATTTGAGTCTATGATTGTCAACTAAGTGAGAACGTAGCCGCCCATCCCTCAATGTCAATGGAGGCACTACCACACACATCTCGTCTGCGGGCACTGAGAGCACTGTCGGCGCCGTCTGTTCTTGCCACCATGCAAAGAACTGACAGTTGGCAAAGCTCCTGCAGATCCCAATGGGCCATTTCTCTGAGCCGCGCAGCGAGGTCACTCCCAATGCCCATGGCGAAATCGTTGACGCTGTGCCAAGGCGTTCAAACTCATCCATTCCCATACTCACAGGCTATTGACCGACCATGCAGGCAGTTGCGCATTTAGTCCTGTGTGGACATGCTACTGTCCAGCCCATCGCAGTGCGTCTTCCATAAAGGCAGTAGCGTCCAAGAAACAGGGCCGCTATTGCAAGTAGCATTCCACTCGAGGGCTGGTCGCACGGCAGTGCAAGCTGTTATTGCAGAACGTGCAGCGCTCTTTGAGGGTGCACCTGCTCGACCGTGCCTTTCAGTGCTGTGGACTGCCTTGCTTTGGAGGAGCTCACATTTCCAAGGACGTGAATGGCGAGCCTTTCCAGCATTCGAGCTTCTGCTACGAGAATATTCATACCTTCCCGATGCTTTCCGCGCTAATCCATCAGTGGTGAAGGGGTTTCGGTGGTTCAGTCACTTTGCCAAGTAGCCGAGCCGCCACTGTAACGGCTGACACATCTTTTGCAAGGACACCCAGAGTGCCAAAGTTAGAGCTGACAATGCACGATACACCTCGCCACTGTTAAAAACACGGTGGAAAACAGTTGCACCATGCCCAGCATCATCCACTAAACGACGGCATGATCATTGGAGTTAACGCAAATGAAAGCCAAAACCTTGGGCTCGGTCGTTGATGACCACTGCGTTCCAAGATGAGGGTGGAAAATCCCTTCGTACAGGCAGCAGTACTTTATGGGACTGACATGCCTTCAAACCCCCTTTGGTACGCGCTCGCATCCCCCCCTAAAGATGAGTCAAGGCGCCTGTCAAAAACACATCAGACGACGCCGATGTCACCCTGACCGGTGATCTACCCCACGCTTTCAGTAATTCATCAAACCTTTGTCCTCCTACTACCATTCTCCTTCCCAAAGCGCTAGTGGCAACACGCCCATAGCGGCAGAATAACCCGCGCTCGCCACTCTCCAACTAACCCGTGATCACTTCGTAATACACATTTCCCGTTCACCTTCAGCGGCCTTGGCGCCCCATCATGATTGGCACCCGCCATGACCATCGAAGCACGCCAATTCCATCACTCAAGGCCCATGCAGTCCGACATTGTGCATCATGCCCACTGTAGGCTCCGAGAGGGCAAACGCACATCAGCAATGACCCGAGAGACCGACTCATGCCGTAACGTGAGGTCAGCAGTAACTACTCTGGATTGCCGACTCCAGTGTTCCCGCTGGCGAGTCTAGGCGACAGTCGGACAGATCGCAAATCCTTACATCCCCAGGACTTGGAATCTTTGGCCTCTGCCCCACTGGGCCTCTCATCACAAACTCACGTGCCCACTCAACCAGAACTTCTGTCTGTCGTTCCCCCATCACACCTCACTCGGCGTCATTTCGCATCGCACTTTGTGACCCATCACGTCGCATCCTGCGCCTCCGTGGCGCATCACCCTGCACTTCACACTTCATCGCGCTGCACCCCGCGGCTCGCCCCCGCAGCTCGCCCCCACGGTTCCGAGCTACCGCCCCATCAAACAGGCATCAAAAGACCAGCCCGACATAAGGCTCAAACGAGTGCTGTGCCGCCACCTCCGGGCACCGGCAATGGCCGTGATAGCCCTTGGCGCCGTCCTTAGTAAGGCACCAGAAAACGGCGTCAGCATAAACCCCATTCTGTGCCGCCTTGGGGCAAACGGCCAGCGCCCTCATTCGGTGACCGAAACACAAAAGTGGCCAACTAATGTTGGTCATTTTGTGGGAACTCGAACAAACCCCAATATCAACAAAGAGAAAAATGGGGAGACGGCAACTTGAATCGTCACAATGTGGAATCTGAAGAGCCCATGGCCAAGCAATGCCCGGGGGCCTGTGTGCACCCCGCGGTGCGTGACAGAGCGAAGGTTCGAGGCCGGTGCTGCACGAAGCGTTGGAGTCGCTTGCCTTCGCTCTTGCCGCCCAACCCTGGCATGCCATCACAGTCGGCTGTACGAAACAGCGGGTTACCGTGTTTGGTAATAGATGCACTTCCCACCAGTGCGACTTGTCAACATCCACGAATGCATCCCAAGGAATTACGCAACCCCGGCGCTGGCTTGCCTCTGCACTGCACAACGCTGGTCTCCGCTCCAGGCCACCAAAAACAGTCTCAACCAGGCAGCAGCAGTCTTGCAATTTGGACCCACCCCCAGCTGTCCCCCTCGAGGAGCCCCAAGGGCCGGCAACCTCGCAGGAGGGAAGGCGCGCACACCGCAGAAGCGAACTTCTCTCGGCGGACCTCGTGGACAGGTGCGCCTGGGCAGGAAAGCGACCGGCGCTTCCCGCCAGCGTCCGTCGGTTTGAGGCTGAATTGTCCTGCAGAAGATCGGCGTGCGCCGCCCCAAACTGGGTACAGGGAGGTGTGATAACCCTGGAAACTGAACCGGGTATCGGACGGGCGCCGGAAAAGTGTGTGCGGAAGCGGTTACCTGCCGCAGGGGGAGGGGAGAGTTGCAGCGGCAGCTGAGGGTTCGCTGTGGGTTTAGGAGGCCCTGGCGGGTGGGGCGGCGGACTCCTTGTCCGTCCGTCCGTTGTATTTTGTGTCTGTGTGTCAGTGTTGTCCTTCCCCCCCGTCTGTACTCGTGCTCCCTGTGAAGGAAACGCGGGAAACGGGCAGTGCGCGACGTTGCCACAAACTATCACGCTGGTGTTCATGGCCGTTGTGTCTGTGTGCCAAGGGAAGTGCGTCTGTGTCGTTTGATTGATGCATGGAGTCCTGTTGGCGGTAGTGGTGACCACCACCGAGGGTTGACTTTACTGCAACGCGGCATCTTGTGGTGTTTGTGCAGTTGGTGGGCTAATGCTTTGGGCACGCCTTCCTTCCTGACTTAGCTAGATCGGCATAGTGTGATATGGCCAGCACAACAGCAACGCTGATTGTAGTCGGATTCGCCTAGAACTGCTGGGTCAGTTGCAAAATGTGTCTGCAGCATGGTCCTGATTGCACCTTCAAGTCGCACACCCTGTCATCAGTTTCCAACGGGAAGATGACCCTTTCAATATGGCTCCAGGAGAGTTCATGGAAATAACGCCTGTCGTTGTCACTGCCAATCGAGCTGGCTGGAGTGCACCAAGCACACAGGCGTGTCCATTTGCACCAGTGTTGAGCCACCCAGTTTGACGAATAGTTTCTTTTGTGCTTGCGCAGAAACCATGGTGTCGCAATGGATGGTTGCCTTGGCAGCCCTCTTTCTGCTGGAGGCTGTCATCAATGTCAAAGGGGTGAGTTGCATACAGCATTGCTGAGGGAATGTAGCACATTGCTTGTGCCAGTGAGTGGTATCACAAGGATAATTTCTGGCATATGAGCATGATAAAAAGTCATCTGTGACTATGTGGGCCCCATCAGAGAGGATCTGTGCACGAGAACAGCAGACTGAGAACCTGGAAGTGAATGTATGAACGCACATATCCAATCTGCAGTTTCAAAATGCTGCATGATGCTGTGGTCCTCACGGATCAGATAGAGCATCGCATGGTAGTTTCAGTGACACAAGATTGGGCCATGAATCCACCCCCACCCAGCTCCATCAAGGCCTTCATGAAGCATCCTATGGCTGAAAGAATTGAAAAAGTCACTGCCAACAAAGAACACGGAACTGAGCTGATGACAAAAGGGGAGAAAGGAAGGAGCAAGAAAAAGGCATGATGACACAGCACTTGAGCAACACGCAATGGCTTGTATCAGTGCATGCGATGCCAAGACCCCTTGCTTGTTCTCAGCATCACAACAATTGTTACCTTGCACACAGCCAGCCATTCTTCAGAAGAATTGCTAGTCTGTTCTGAAAGCCTGCTCCAGTCCCACAACCGATATAGGCCTGGCCCAGCCTTTAGTCACTGCTTTGTTGGTGTGTGCTGCCAAGCTCCAATGTTAAGTGCCTTGAATGAGGGGTTTTCAGTTCTTGTCTGCTCCTGACCGCTGCTGTTTTGGAGAGCACACATTTGGAAATTGGCAATCAGTTGAGCATGCTGGCCCACTGAGGCATTGTCTTGTCACTGAAAGCTTGCAATTCCCACTTTTTGTCAAGGCACTGGCCAGCTGCCCTTTTGCAAAATGCTCCAATCATCACACTGGCCTTGGTCCCTTGATTTGAGGCACGGCACTGCAACTGTAAAATGGTAATGCTCATGTTAGGTTGCTATTGGCCCTGTCTCCTGCTTGGCTCAGTGGCATTCATCGTTGCCCTTTGTGCTTCTGTGATTTTTGTTTCTATGTACAACGTAGCACAGTGGGTCAGCATATACGGTCCATATCTTTGCAGATGTGGAGATGTTTGTGTTACGTATCAACCCACACTCACGCAAGGGATTTAGATGCCCGACTGGCATGTTGCATACCCCAGTTTTGCAGCAGTTCTTCATCCTGCTTGTTGTCCTGTTTGCCAGGTGTCCATTGTAGACAGACATTTTGGAATGCGACAACTGCTTCAGGCTGACAACCTCTGCCAATGGATTTCGGAAGAAGGCATATGCAGTCCAGCAATCATTCCAAGGATCCCAGACCAAAGTCTTCTGAAAAAAGTAGTTCCTACGGTGAGCTCATGGCAATATAAGCTTTGTGGTTGAGCTAAGCACAGAGCATGAACTTGACAAGTGCTGTTGGCGTCAGGGATAAGCTGATGTTGGAATGCAGAAAATCTCTGAATGGAGAAGGGCCTCTGGAATACAAAAGCGTTGTGAACATGTCTTTTGTGTGCATTGGCCTAGTTCTCTGTGTGGTCCTCCACTCAGCGTTCTCGTGTGCTGTGGTGTGTTCTGTCAGCTTTGTGTGCTACAGCAAGACAAGGAAGAGTGTGACGAACTAGGAAAAGCATGCCGGTGGTGAGCATTGTTGAGCTGTGTTTGATTCCAGACGATGATGATGCTTCCTTGTGTTGGTGCTGGTAGTGATGAAAATTTAGCTGTGTCACGTCAAATCGGGATGAACTTGTTAATTGAAGGGCTTGTTTGGAATGGAATCGTGAGGATCTGCTTGTGGCTGCAGCCGCATATTGCAGTTGGCTTTAACTCTGGATGCTATGTACACACTGTGTCTACCATGGTGCATGGCAGTGGTGACCACTGAGATTAATGAATATTTACATCCATCTCAGCCTACCTTTTGGATTGCACTTCCCTTCAGGGCGAAGGCAGAGCATATCTTTGTAGCTTCCTCCGTGTGGACCACTGCTGTGTGTTTGTTCTTGCTGTTTGTGTTACTTGTGCTGTGTGCTCATCATGCTGCAGTGGGAGACTCCATATCATCGCACCATATTGTTTGTCATGTCTGGCCAATCTTGCTGGGGAAAGGGAGAGCCTTGCGATGGCCAACTGAGCTGCTCTGCATTTTGTTGTTCAGGACGGGTGGTGTATGCAAGCCCAGGACATTGGACCACCTTGGGGAGTGCCTGGATCGGGAGTATTTCTTGTTCCAAAAAGGATCACGGTGCCAGGAGGATACTCCAGAATTCGATGACTGCAACAATGAAGAGGCCTGCACATGGTGGGAGCATGCTCAACTCGCATGCAATTTGTATCTTTGATGCCCCACAAGGGGCACTGCGCACTGTTTTGATTTTTCCTGACCGGGATGTCCCTGCCGACGTTTTGAACACCGTTTTTGGGCGCAAGGTGGAACATGTTTGGTTCTTTGTATGCACCCCACGTCTTCATGCATGTGTATTTGCTGTTCCTGTCATCCACATTGATGCTTGTTTGTCACACAGGGATAGCCGAAAGGGGGAATGTGCACAGAGCCCTGCAATTGTGGACGAGGTACACGCCTACTCTGGCCCAACACCTGATGGCACTGTCACAGTTTTGTTGTTCAATCGATCAGCACCTTCGTCGTTGACAGGCTCACAGCTGTTAGTTCATGTTTCCATATTCTAGACCTCACAGATCCCATAGTTGTTCATGTCCCATGTCCCTTGTTGTGGCCCCGCATATGGAATGTGGCTTGCCATTGCCAAGTTGACTGTTCTGATCCTTTGGGGAGCAATATGTTGGAAACAAGTGTTCCATGAGCAGAGACGTTGGTGTGCGCTGCTGTGTTGACATGGCTGCTTATGTGCAACAGATTCTGGACAATGTGGACAGCATAGTTGCAGGAGAGCTGCAGACCTTGCTTCGGTGCTCTGGATCTACTCGACGGTCAGCATGTACAGGCGATTGCCAGTATAACTTGCAAGCCGGAGTCTGCAACTACCCGCCTTTCTTTGACGAGTCCAGATTCTTTGACAAATCCAAATCCAGGTCCATACCTATTTGCAAGTTCTTTCGCGACGTCAAGAAGTGTGCTGAAAGCAAGGATTGCGAGGAAGCGAAATGCCAGAGCACTGAACAAGGTGATAACAATGCTGCTGAATGCGGCCGATGCATGTACCTGACAAGTTCCACACAGCACATTGTGCTGTCAGAACTGGTACCAGTCTGTTCGTGTCTCCCATTGCGACCACGGCATGTGGCCCGAAATTTTGCGTCCGTCCGTTGGCTTCCATTGTAGTTTGTCGTGTGTCCATGGGCAGCTGCTGTGGCCAGGCGACCTTATGGAAAACCCTGGGAAGGTGTCCTTCATAAACCTGAGTAGGGGCGATGGCATGGGCGGCCTGTTGGACAGTGGTGATGCACTTGCAGCAACCTTCCAAGGCAGTTGCTGCGCATCTATCCATGAAGCATTGCTTGACAGAGAATGGCTTCTGTGTGTGTGTGTGGTGTGTGCCTCTTGCACTCAGAGAGGTTGCATCCGCTTGTGCACTGCGAACTGAAGATCACACGAAATATCTTGCTCGGGACTGGCGTCGCCATTGCGCGACTCGCATCCTTTCTGCTTAATAGGCAATCTTTGACTTGCCTACCGTTGTTAGTCATATGGCAGACATGTGGGCCTGGCCCCCTTCGTCACATTCCATAGTGCACGGGTGGGCTTACTTCCTCAGAATCTAAATGGTAACTTTCCAAAATGAAGCAAATGTGAAGAGTCCTGGCGCGTCTATGAGTAATCCAAGCCAGAATCGTCTATGGGAAAGGGCTGTTCCAGTTGGAAGAGGCCACGAGGGATCAGGAGACGGTGGCTATGCCAGTGCTGCGCGTCAAACTAAGAAATGCTGTCTCTGTGGTGATAATCTGTGCCGGCGATGCGTGCACGCGTTTGAGTGCAAACTTGTGCTGTGCAGGTTGCTTCGTTAATGACGAGGCGATCATCGACAGTTTGTATGAGTCAGACCCAGACCTTCAGGGGCAGATGAAGGCAGCCGCCCGTGATTGCCCATTCATTGAATCTGAAGAAGACTGCATAGCTTACGAGGCGTGAACGTCCTTTGAGGGTGATGGGGACCGATTGGGACACAATGCGTTACCTGTCGATGTAATGTATTGACCAATTGCTTCCCTTGCCCACTGAGGCGCTCGGATGTTTCATCCACGCCAACAAGCGCAAGGTGTTCTCTGCCCAGGCGGCAAGTTTGATGATGTGCCACGGTCCAATGGGCCCAGGGACCGTCCTGTCTGAGCGTAGGACGTTACTTGCCGGTAGCCAACTTCCTGTAGCGTTTATGCTCTCCACACGGCTTGAAGTCCGCTTGCCCTCGGAATGCACTGACCACAAGTCGAAACAGTTCCTGGTGCTCTTCCCAATTGGGTGGTTCCTGGCGCGGTTCCCGGCGCACCCTGCACGATTCGCTTGGGGGTGGCTGTCCCCGCTTCAGGCAGTGTTTGGTATGCAAGTGCTGGTCATTGCACCCAAGTATTGTGCACCACAGTTCCTTGCTTTCTGGGGCTCGCAGTTTCCAGACAGCAAAGGACCAGTGTGAAAATCATGTCCAGCGGGCGTCCGTTGAGGGGCGTGGGTTGCGTCATCATACATTCCGATTGAACGTCACCTTGAAGCAGATGAATTGTGAGGAGTATCTTCCTGGGCGCTGCCGTGCTGCGATCCAGAACACATGTGAGGGAAGAAGTTTGCATGTTGCGCTCGAAAAGTGTGGCTGTGTACTTGCGTTCCCAAATTCTGCCAAATCCCCTGCATTTGCTCCCAGAAGGCTCTGGCGGACAATGCAGAGAAATTGAGGCAACATTAAATCCCATGCAAAACGAGCGATGCCGCTGGAGGGAGAATCCTTGAGCCCGTAGTGGTCGGCCCGGAACATTACCAAGATGTGGCTGAAGAATGATACGACTGCTGTAAAGACCTCAACGCCAAAATGTGAATACGCATCCGCAGTACCATTGCTTCGAAAGGAAGCCAGAATGTTGTAGACAAAAGAAATCGTGACGAGTGCCAATGGGGTATCAGCACCTGCTCCAAAAATAAGTTTCCACCTGCACGCATTTCTAAGGCCTGCAAGGTATTCGAATGCAAGCTGGAGAGTTGCCCAAGTTGACCTCAAGATGAAAGCGGCACGCAAGTGCGAAAATGGACAACAATGTGCGACCTATCTCTGAGCGAGAATTACAGTTCCTGATCAAAGTCGCTGTAGTGGTTCATCATGAATACATGATGTGGATCAAGCCATGGCGCAGAGGCCTAACTTGGGGTCCACGCACGAATCTTTCACACGTTGAAATTGCTGATGAGCGCCTTGAGGAAATCTCAATTCCAACTTCTGGGGCAAACGAAGAGGCCACCATAGCACCACGCTTTTGATTTTACTCTTGTCGACGGTGGGACCTACAGCGCGGGAAAGCGGAACAGGGCCCGCCGTACACTTGCTTAGGACAGGGTGCTCCACTGTATGTCCTGTTTTCGGGAACTCTAACACATTTTGACCGTCATGGCATGTTGTAACTGGAACTGATCTAGTACTATCAGGCTTGATTTTTATGCCGTAAAAGCGGGTAGTATTTACGTTTTTATGCGTAAAATATTTTTTACCTTTTTGCACATAAAAACGCGTAAGAATACGTAAATACAACGTAAATACAGCCACGTGTACATAAGAACAGTACATACAGAGTTGTGGTGTCCGGGGAGTGGCATGCCCGGAGTGGCATGGAGTGGCTGACTGCGCAGTCAGCCGCGCCGGAATGGGTAGAAAACGAACTTTTGTTCCATGTCGTCGTTGCCCTTGCCAATGGCGAGGTGAGCATTGTGTTGTGGGTGCTGGAGATGGCGCAGGACTGATCATTGTACGCAACTTTCATCGTGTAACTTGGGTGTCCCAGCGAGCCGTAAAAACGTAAAACTAGCCGTAAAAATAGGCGCTTTTGCAAATTTACTATTTTACACGTACGAACGTAAACGTACAAACGTAAAAGTAAAAGCCAAGCCTGATTACTGTGTACAGCTTAACTCCTAAAGAGGTGATGGGGCATTAGGAATGGCATTATGGACATTTATGAACGGACTGAATACAAGGGACACAATTCCTGCCGTCCCTTTGCTCCGCTGTAAGCCGTTGCCGTGTACTCGGTCCCCAGACAGATTCCGCCACCCCTCGACCCTGCGTTATGCCGGTGCCAACGAATTGCAGCAGGGCTGGCCGGCCCCTCGGAGGTGGCCCGGTGGCGCAGCCACACAGTCGATTATCCCTTGCCTTCGCCGTCCGTGGCTCTGGCATGAACCCCGTTGCACGTTGCACGAAGTGTTGTTTTGTACATGCTGACTACCTCGTGCGTTTTGCATGGAATCTGGTAGGCCAGTCTGTCCGAAGGCCGCCAACTCAATAGAACATTCCACCGGCCACCCCAGCTGTTCTGGGTTGACCAATTTCCAATGAAGTCCCTTGACTTTCCCCCGTTCGTTCCAATCCTACAACTAATACCAATTCCTCCCCACTTCCCAACCGCAAACCTCTAGGCCAGCGCCCTGGACCCGTCCACCCGCCGACGTTCCAAGGGTCCCTACCCGCTACCCATCTCCCTCACTCCCTCCTCTACAGCCTCTGCTGCAGCTCCCTCCAACTGCCCCATGTTCGCGACACCGCATAATGACCACCGTTTCAGGGTGGATCACTTATGCATTATGGTGTGCGACTTGTATGCACGTCAAGAATATGGTCCATATGCAAGGCATTCTGAATCTAAAAAAAGAAAAGAAAAATGTGTTTTAGGATTCACAAAAGTATTGTGGCGATGAGTGGGTATCGTTGAAGTGTCGTATGGCTGGTTGCTGATGAATGATGGTTGTTGCCATGTGAAAAGAAGAGTTCCGTGGGTGCAAGAAGATTCGAACTGTTAGGTTGCGGGGGGTCGTTGCCACCGCCGGCAAGACTCTTCGTTGTGGGAAGGGTGGACAAATATGTAAGCCCTGGGCGTTTGTGTGTGTGTGGCCTTGCGTGAGGCCGTGTGCCAACCGGTTGAAACATCGGCGATCGTGGATTCGAGCTTTCCGTGTGCACTCCAAAGGGGGCCGTTTGAATCGCATCAACGGCCATTCCTTCAAGATCCACTAATTATGCGCCCCACTCTCATTCGTTCCCACAACTGTTCCCACACACAGTCAGAGTGCTGTTTGACCGCCCCATCCCCACACCTGCCTGCCTTCGTCAGCACATCACAATGCCGCGATGATGGGCGGCATTAACTGTCGCGTCCGACACCTGTGGCAGTGACGTCCCAGAGCCGCGGCAGAGTGCACCACAGGACTTGCCGCGATCAGCCGCGCATCCCCGACGCCTGCGGCGAACCGCGGGCACCATGCAGCGCGCTCGAATCTCTCGCCCCCCCGCGGGCAGCGCCTCAGAACAGCCATTTTGGTGCACTCCCTTGGCCCGCTTCTCAAGATCAGGGCACATGCGGGTTTGTTCGAGTGCGGGCGCCCCAGCCTAGCGGTCTTCGCGGGGATAGAACCAAGCGGGAAGCGCGCCCGTCCATCGGGCGGCCGTGCCGCGGGCCGATTGGCGCGGGTGCGGAAGGCTTATAGTGCAAATTTGCGCTTTCCGTGTGCGCGGTGGACGCACGCGCGGGCGGAAAATCGGCGGTTCAGGTGTGCTTTGGAGCAACTGTTGCGCGTTTTCGTGTCCGCTTGGACTCCATTTGCGCAGAGCTGCGCCGCGCGGCTGCCCCCGCGGCCAGCTGCTGCAGTCGCTGCAGTCGCTGCAGTGCAGCGCAGCTGGCGTTCGCGATTTCGTCCCCAGGGGGCGATCAGCAGCTGGAGATCTTCTCTTGGAAAGGGGCGCTTCCCTGTCCCCGCATGAACAACTGGTAGCACCTCTGAACAAAAGGGCCCGGACGGGCCTGTGCGGCGCACGCCGTGGATCATGGGCTGCCTGATCGGCGGCCGCCACGCGTGCACATCGCATTAGGCACTTGCATGCAGATCGCAACACTTTGCCGCGTCGATGCAATGGATTTTGCCGATACAGGCGCGTTCCAGCGGCCCGGCGTTGAGGACCCAAACTGCTCCCTGCACGGCGTACGGCGTGCATCGAGATCGGGCACGGACTGTGGGGCGTTTCTGAGCCGCGCTGTGAATCCACAGGTGGCCGCGGCAACAAGCCATGCATCATTTTGGGCTTCTCATTCGCGCTACCGCCGCCTACGCGATCCTGGCGGTCCACCTGGGTTCTGCCGCGGGCGCGCTTGGGCTCGGAGATGGCGAGATCCTCCGAAGAAGAAACCATATCAGACTGGAAAGAGCCCTGGATCGGTCTTTCCAGCGCAAGGCGAGTGTCCAGGAGCAGCGTTTGCCCTGCGTGCTGCAGATCTACTTCTGAGACAAACCGCGGATCACACAGGCAACAGACGCGCATCATTGTGGGCAGCGCCCAGTTGCTCTCAAACTTGCCTGGGACGACGATTGTGCCACGTTCCTGAGCGCCTCTACCTTTGAACGGGCCCCGAGGATGTCTCGTCCATTCCGACACCTCAAAGAGGGGTGAATTTTGCCTGAGAGTCAAGCCCGCATTGATGAATATTCACACATGTTTATAGGAAGTGGATTCACACGCAAAATACACTAGTTATCGAATCTGGGGCGTTGGTGCATAGTGACCCTTCTGCGTTGCGGCACTGTGCAGCTGTTGTAGCTATAGCATCAAAATACGCAATTGGCCATCGGTATGTTGGATGGCATGGCGTGGCAAGTGTTATGCTTTGGTTCCTGTGAAGCTGCGCATACAAGGCTTTGATGCAGACAAGCCTGCGCCTTAGTGAAAAAAGGTTATGGATAAATGGACCTACTGACTTCTGCCGTGCGAATATTCGGTGCCTGTTTCATAGTTCCTACGACGTTTGAGAATACTCGAAACACATTTCTCACATTGAAGAAAGTTTCACATATCCACAAGCAGCAGGTAGTTAGGCGGAGATCGATGTGTTTGACCTACGATCTCACAGATCTTTCGGCAATGGTCGCGTTCGCAGTATGGATTG